CGACGAACCTGGTCCATCCAACCCTTCCAGCACCGTACTTGCTACAGTTAAGTTATAGCGTAATTGATAAAAATAGTCGTAGTTGTAAATATATATTGAGTGCGATGTTAGATTCGGGATCGCCAATTAGCTTTATTAAGGATAATTTTGTCCCGGTAGAAGCGCGAAATCCGTTGCCGAATGATAGCCACGAATTCGCGGGAATAAATGGTTCGCGGATGGAGATTGTAGGATTATTTAATTGTCGAGCCGAAGTTGAGGGCATACCGGTAGATTTGACGTTCCATGTAGTACCCGAGAATACGATGCCGTTTGTAGCGGTACTTGGCCGCGATTTTTCATCGAACCCGACGATAAAATTGTCTTTTGAGAACGGACTTGTAGTGTCACGGGGAAATCAATCATTAGATTTAGCGACTCAAGTTATGCACATTGGATGTGTTAGTGCGACTGAAGATTTGTGTAAAAAACCCGATATTGACATTGAGGTTAAAGAGCCCGTTAAAGAATTGCGCGAAATAGATTATACAGAAACGAAGAACTTGAGTACCGAACGAGTAAATCGCGTCGTAACTTTGATGCTCGGAAAATTGTGTGAGATGAATGAATGGGATAGTGTGTTAGATAAAATCGAATTTATATTGAATAATAAGGGGGGTCGAGTAATAAACGATACTTCTAGTCAGGTGGAATTTGAAGTCGAATCGGCGGAAAAATTGAATGATTGTGTGGAAACTGTATTAAAATCGGTTCCGAATAAGGTGAAGGACTTGGAATGTAAACGCGAAGGGACACAGAACTTTGCTGTAAAAACGCAAGCGATTAATGATAATTGTTTTAATAATGTACCAGAACGGATAGCTCCAGATCGAGGAACAGTGTTCAAATTGAATCGTGGTAAAGACTTTTTAGAAACCGGATAATACGAGCTATGTATTGCGATATAACCGTAGGAATAAGGATGTATATAGATTAGTAATTGGAAAGTGTGAATGGGTTTATGGTATGAGTATGCGTGCGTGTTTCATTGGGTTAAAATATTGTATTGGTTTTTGGTGTATTGTGTTCGGTTTGTTTATTGTGCTGGGTTAGCCGGGGCGGCTAACATGTCAGGATGGCCGAACTTTGGAAGGTTGGGACATTTATTTAAATGTTTCAGTAGAAGGTAGGTAGATGATCCAACTTTTGTCCGAAATGTATTTTTCACCGATGTATGCATATTTTCTATAAACTGACAAATATGCCACCAAAATGTAAGAATGTGGTCGTCTGAAAATCCACATTGGAAAAGAGAAGTAAACAACCAATTTAAAACAAGCGTCATGGTGTGGTGTGGAATTTTCAACAGAAAAATTATTTCCTATTTTGGAGGAAATGAGTCTCCAGGATAGGAAGAACATGTGGTATCAGCAGGACGGAGCTCCTCCACATTACGCGAAAGAAACCAGGGAGTGGCTGCGTAAAGTATTCAACGACAATTATTAATATCATCTTCGATACGGAAAACATAGAGCGTAATGAACAATATTTTTCACATTTCTCACTTTTCGGACCTGCCATTTTGACCATAGACCCCGCCTATCTGTTTCGGCAGGCAGAGTCAAACCTGCGGCACTTACTGTAACAATAAGACCGTTTTTATGACTTACTCGTCAAACCGAGACGTCACTGCTGAAAATCACTAAATTTGTAACCGTTATATCTCGAAAACTACTGAAAATCGGGTAAGTACATAAAGCCTTGATGAATTCGTCTTGAAAAGCACTATCGCCTGATCGGAAAAAAAATATATAGTTCCATTTAAAAAACGAAACTTCACCATCATATCTTTTACATTAATAACAATAATGTAGACATAATGTTAGATTTTTAGGTTCTTTTATAATATTGAAGGTTTGACATAGCAGTAATAAAAGGCCAAGGAATCGTTACTTGTCCGTTTTAACATTTGGTAGACACATTGAGCCCAGGGTTGGCGTAGTTGTATTTCTTTTTTTCGGTACATGTAATTTGAAAAGTCGAGGCGATCCTTGGGTTTATTACTGCTACGGTAATTTGTGAATCGAGGGACGGATGGGTCACCGGACGACGATTTTGGGCCGGATGACCGCTGCAGGGGAAAGTGGGATTTTCCAATTTGGTAGGACGTCACACTTTCCCCACCCCGTATTTTCTCCCTTCTCGGAGTACCGGGAAGTTGATAAAATGGCATGTAAGAGAGGATGCGAAAGAGTGCATTGAAAATTGTCATTTGAAACATTAAACCTCCTCCGTATCCAGTTTTAAAATAGTTGTCGGCCTTTCATTGATTTTTCCGTTCTTTAACCCGAAATAGTCTACAATAAAAAAATTTTGCTTTTGCCAAAACATAGGATCTCTTTTACCCTTCAGTTTCTGTATGTATAAGCACTTTTTCGTGACATCAATAGTTCATGAGATATCACGGTGTAACACTTTGGCGCGGACACCCTGTATATACAGGGTGTTCAGCGATTTACTAGCCAGCGTTTTTCTCGTAAACGACTGGTACTAGAAAAAAATGAAAGAGGAAAAAGTAATAGTGCTTTTTATAATCAACATAATGAAGTATGTATTTTTTTTGTGTTTATACTATTTTTTAAGATATGAAGGTAACCTTCAGTTTTTTTAATGGAATGGTATATATTTTTTTATATCATAT